AATGGGGAAGTAGTAGTGATATATCGGTGAAGTGTAGGGGGGAGTATAGGAATAATCATCTAATGGGTTGGCGGTGGCATTATTACCCAAAAGGGGCGAAGGGGGTCTCTGACTTTGCAACTACAGGTCCGAAATGCAAAGATCCCGCTACTCTTTTCAAGTCGTCATGATCTGACCATACTGACAGACATGTCGAGTCAGTTGTTGCTGATGCCTAAACCCTAAACCCTAAACCCCTATGTCTTAGCCTTAGCCTTGGCCCCTCTGCCTTCTCCAGTTTCGGTCGCCCGATGCGGTCTACAGCACCCTGGCAGCTTGCGGCTTACGGGTATGGGTTCGCAGTCCTCAAGCATTTCAGAGATCTGCTATGAAGGTTCGAGCTCTGGGAATTTGGACTCCGGGGATTAGGGCGGCTTAGGGGTGCCTTATGCTTGTTGGAGGCTTCAGTTTCTGGGGTTTGCAAGACTTTGGCGGGGAGGAAGCTCAAAAGGCACGCCCTGATCTTGCCCAAGCCAGATTCCTTCTGGACGATGATGGGTCCATCCATCTTCGTACACAGTTCGAGGACATTGACGTCCTGCAACACTGAAGCGATGCTCGATGTCCCAACAGAGAAAGGAAAAGTTTGGCATCGCTCAAACACCATTTCCTCGCCGATTCAACAGGCACTTCAGCCGTTGCTTGGGTCCGAGGTCTGGGTAAGGCAGGAGTGCGCATGAGGCAACTCCTGGCCAAACACTTCCACATGCTGAAGTAGGTCGAAGCATCACGCCGGAACAAGACTCGAACCCTCAGCCCTACCATGACTGGCGCTGCTAATGGCGGCATCTTCATTGTCAAAATACTTTTACATAAGTACCATCACGGGGAGTCTCATGATTACCCCTGCTTCCTGCTTGTGGACGGTAATGACCAAGACGACGGCGACGACGACGATGCTGGCGGAGCCGTCATCGACGACGGCGCGACAACGACCAGCACGTACACGAGCAACTACCGACACCCCATGGCCGTGGTACTTGTCGAAGAAGTGTCCTCTCGGCCGAGGACCGCTTTGGCCAGGCGCCTGAACTCTGCAGCATTCGGCGTCAGCACGGCGTTGGCATAGCCTGACGGGTACTATGCCTGAAAAATTAGATTTAGGATTCCTTCAAAGGGTTCCTTTTAGTTAAGGTGCTCGAAAAAGGGTTGCGTAATATAGTAGCCTGAACAATTAGGAAACGGGCGTTGCGTCGGTATGCTCTAGTATAACTATATCAAGGAATCCTGAGGAATCGAGGAATGGCATCGGGACTTAATCAGGCTTCTATGTTCTGCTGTCGAGATTTTGGGAAGCTTGAGCCCAATGGTGTCAGAGTTTAGGGCTTCTGAGGATGAAGATGTGCAGTTTCGGAGAGTCAACATTCTGACCTCTGACTCAGTGGTCCAGACCCCTCAACCCTAAACCCTAAACCCCTAAACCCTAAACCCTCTTTCTGGGCTTCACTTGCCAAGGCTTTCGGGCCGAAAATCATTCGAAGATTGCAAAGGCAAACCCCCCGAGCCCGCAGCCCCGGCCCCCAGCACCAGCCCCTAACCACTGAAACACTGAAACACAGGACTTGCACGCTTTAGGGTTTAGGGTTTAGAGCCTTCGACTTGAACTTGAAACCCTGCTCCCTTAAGCCTGGCCTTGCACTAACTCGGGGCGACGCTCAATGAGCCAAAGCCCATCTGCATCGATGACCAGGGGCACAGCCCGAGCCTGAAGGGGACGTTGGCTGCGGATGTTGAGGGCTTGGGGCTTAAGATTTACCGCCTAGGGTGCTAGGGCTTGGGGATGTAGAGTTGAAGGTTTAGAGACGTCGGGCTACTTTTGTTTCAGAGTTTCGGATTGAGTGTGTGCGACGCAAGCATTCCGGGAGGTGGCCGGGAACTGCAGCTTCGCGTGTGCGGCAGAGCTCGGGAGTCGTACTTACACTGCGAAGTGGTCTGTTTTGAGTTGTATGCAGAATTGGGCGTCCAATTCAAAGGCCTGAAAACGAAGGTTCAGAGACAGGTCGCCCCCCCCCCCCTCAAAAACGAATACTCAACGCATTATAACCGACAAACCAACTGTGCGAGTCTCTCTGTCCCCACCATCATCTTCATGGTCGTTGTCCCTGTCACCCTCACATTGCCGCTGTTGCCGGGTCTTCTTCCTACTCTCAACTATTGTTCAGCGTGAGCATCATCATGACATGACTTGCAGAGATGGTAGTCGTGGAGATGGCGATGGCAAGGACGGCGATTATGAGACGGTGAGATGATGATGTTGCTGGTAGGGAACACCCAGCACACAACACAGGCGATGAGCGATGATGGTGACGATGATGATGGTGATGATGGTGATGATGGTGATGATGGTGATGATGGTGATGATGATGATGATGATGATAATGATGGTTGTGGTGGCTGTGGTGGTGGTAGCCGCACTTCTGACAGTGATGACGAAATTGTGCATATGACGAGGACGACGCGCATAATGCGGATGTTAGTAGCGGTGATGATGGCGCAGGTGATATTACCACAACTTACATCACCAATGGGGTTGCTCACCGCCGTCAGCATGGTCATCGTCAAGGTTACCACTACGGTGCCAACAGCATTTCGCTATCACTAGCAGCAACATCGCCTCTTCGAGGAAGACTCTCACCCATGTCCTGTTGAACGTTGTCGTGCTGGATAAGTTCCCCTGGAAGTTGGACCTCCTTTATTGCGATTGTTGGTACTTCTGCTTTTCTCCAACCCTGGTGATGATGACATGACAACTTTTAAATATCAAGAGCATTGCGATTGCCATGGTTCCCACTGCCTTCTCTCAGCGTCGCGATGATCATCGTTGCAGTTGTCTGTCCTTCTCGTTTCGTTGTTGCTCTAAGCGTCGTCTCATCTATTTACAACTTGAACCTCTCCCACGGAGCCTTAGCAGCAGTGATCACTCGCGCCACCGCATCCAATACACGGTCGTCCTTCCCCATTTGCGAGGGTGGGTTTGGCTTCGAGGGTGTTTTCCTATCAGGGGCGCTGTTCAGACTCAGGCTTTATGCCCTTGCCTGAAGGGTCCTTTGCGGATCTTTCTGCACGCACCTGCGTTCCTGTCTACCTAGACATCTGCATGTCCATCCGCCTATCTTGATAAACGCCGGTACATGCATGCCAGTTCGGAATTTGGAGACATGTTGTGATCAAAAACTGCTCGCAAGGAGAAGACCTTCTGTCAATGACCAGAACAAGAATACAGTCATGCCGGGGCAAGACACGCAGCCTTACGAGGGTGATGGGGGGGACTGTGCAGCCAGGACGCTCGACCAAGACCCGGGCCAATACATAGAGCGTGAAAGCGGGGAAGGAGGGCCTGAAAAACAGAGGCTGTTGGGCTTGGGACTTAGATTTTTGTTTAGGGTTTAGAGTTCGAAAGACATCATGTGCGTGGTTTCAAAGTAGATTCGCAGCTGCTGTCTTTTGATCCATGACTGGAAGACATCGTCACCACATTGATCGAAAGCTGCACACACTACACAACTGTTTAGACTCTGAACCGGCTCGGCCTTTCAGCCCTAAACCGCAACGGCTCATTAAGGCGTCTTTGAGAAGTTCATGCAGCAGAGCAGCCTCAATCCTATGTAACACCACTGAAATGAAACTCTTTTCATCTTCGCCTCCATCTTGGCAACCATCCGGTCTTTTTCTGCACTTACGACACCTGGACAAAAAGGCAGGTGCAGGTTTTATTGGCTCGCCGGTTGAGGGGTTGGGGGATTAGGGCCTTAGGGCCTAGCTTTGTGTTCTGGGCTTGGGCCTTCTTGCAGTGATATTATGAGTCTGGATTCCTTGCATCATCGCTTGCCCACCCCCGACAACTTGAAGGTTCATGGGACTTAGTAACTGGGGTTATAAACAAGGTAGCTATACTTATAAATTACTATAACCCCAACTAAGGTACCTATAACTCTACTTACCAAGTCCCAGGAACCTCCAAGTACTCCCAGGAACCCCAAAGAGCACAAGGTTCCTATTTCCAGAACCCGAGAACCCCAAGCCCGGCTCAGGCCCGAAAGTACAAACCTGCAAGTCCTTTCAAAACACCCTTACTTGGAGGTTCATGGGACTTAGTAGGTACAGCCATAGGGACCTCAATTGGGGTTATAAGTAATTATAAGTATTGCTACCTTGTGTATAACCGCTATAACCACAGTTACTAGGTCCCATGAACCGTCAAGTATAAAACCCCCAATCTATTCATTAAGGACCCGGTCAAACAGACGAAGCAAGCCTGGATCAGCTGAGGACATGCGACTCCAGCTGTAAACCTCGGCGCCGATCGGGGGCCCAGGTTAGAGGCTAGGGTTTAGGGTTTAGGGTTCACGGTGTAGGGTTTAGGGTTTAGTCCTTAGGGTTTAGAACTTAGGGTTTGGGCTTCGTTCAAGCTTTGAGGTCTAGGAAAAGTCTCTGAGCGTCTGGGGTTCCGATGTTGGGACATGGCTCAAGGCCCTCGCTCATGAGGTTGTTCATGGTCGTTCAATGCAAGGTTTCCCTTCAGGCACCTAGCCAAACTAGCGTCTATCGTATCGACCACGGAAGCATCCAGGCAAGATTCCAGGAAATTCTTCTCAGCTGGAAGCCTCCACGCAGTTTGTTCTACACTACTTTTTCCTGAACCCAGAGATAGCCGAAGCCTTGAAACCCACTGAAACCCTAAACCCTAAACCCTTAAACCCTGAAAACCCTAAAACCCTGAAAACCCTAAAACCCTGAAAACCCTAAAACCCTAAAACCCTGAAACCCCTAAAACCCTGAAACCCTGAAAACCCTAAAACCCTGAAACCCTGAAAACCCTAAAACCCTGAAACCCTGAAAACCCTGAAAACCCTGAAAACCCTGAAAACCTGAAAACCCTAAAAACCTGAAAACCTGAAAACCCTAAAACCCTGAAACCCTGAGAGCTCAACACCTGGAGCCCCGAAGTTGGACCACAGAACTTCGCTGACCATCAGCTCGGGGGAGTAGCCCTTGATGGGACCTGCCCACAGAACCCAATACCCCTTAATTAAGGAATATACCTTAAATTATAGGGGCCTTAATATTATGATTTAAGGTATATTCCTTGATTACGTGGTATTGGGTTCTCTGCTTGCTCTGACTGCTCGGATCTGGGTAGCCGCATGCTTTCGGAGGCTTTAGGGCTTAAGGGATTGAGGGTTTTGGGTTTCGGGGAAGTTGAAGGGCTTTCCAACTGCTTCAGATTCCAAGGCTAAGTCAGGCAACTGCTGCTGCGGCTGCTACCAGAAGACTCCCTGGCTCTTCGTAGGGAATGGGGGAATGGATCCCTATGATAGCCCCTTAAGGTCCCCTAGAGTAGTCTCAATAACCCATTCCCCCCATTCCCTACTAAGAACCAGGAAAGAAGAATGCTGTACACTGTACATGGCAGCAACCTTTTTCGCGCAGTGGAAAAAAGCGGCAAACAGAGGGTTCCAGCTCCTTTTGCCGGAGCGGCTCCCGAGTCGGGAGGTGCTGTTTTTGGGCTTTGGGAGGTAATACACTATCAGTATCTAGGGCCTATGATGTAGTATCATCAAGCAAAGAACCTCAATCTAAATCTGCAGCACTTGGGCAACTATCCACGATTTGGTCTTCGCATGAGCACGGCGGGAAACTGACAATCTTCCCTAAGTGGGATGGTGATGTCCTTGACTTTCTCGAATCCCAAAGATTCGTAGAAGGACTGAGCAGTGAGTGTGCTGAACACTTCCATGCCGGGTCGATCGTCAAGACTCGCCGAATACTTGCACCAATCCTCCCACGTCCGATCCCAAATTGCCTTCCCGACACCCTTCCTGAGTTGTCTTGGATCCGTTGCGAAATGACGCAAGTGGGGGATGTCTTCGCCAAATGGTGACTTCGGCGTCCAACCCCCACAACCGACGATGGCGCCGGTGCCGGGATCCTCCACGACGTACCATGTCGATGAAGTCAACAACTCCGGTCGTGTTTGGCACATTGCAGGCAGGGCAATCTCCAGCATCTCCGGCGCATAGTCACCAGCCAGGAGATTTGAGTACGACAAATGCAGAAGGTTGTCCACGGCTTCTTTGTCGCTGGCGTCCGCTGGGCGAACAATCCAGTTGACCTTTTTGTAACTGCCCGCCATAAAGCCAGTACCTGTTCCTAGTATCAAGGAGGCAATCAGGATTACTATCACAGCCGCAGCTTTCATAATGGAAATCGGCTGCGGGTTGCTTTGTGGTCAAGCCTGTGCCGCTTCGACGAAGGCCAAAAAGATGGATCTGTTCTTCTTCGAACTAAGCACCCGAGCATCGATAGAGCCAGTAGGCTGTAGTGTCCATAATTATTCTGTGCAAAGTGGAAGTGGAAGTGAGAGTGGAAGCGGAATGCAACTGCCCTTGCTCATGACAGGATGACAAAGCTAGTTTCACTCGACTATCTATTGACGTGCCTGCGACTGCTTTGCTTTTCAATCATCACCCGCGTCACTCGCACTTGAACACCGTCCCTCAAGCCCTACACCCTAAACCCTAAACCCGAACCCCTAAACCCTAAACCCGAAACCCTAACTCCTAAACCCTAAACCCGACAGCCCCCCCCTACTCCCGTAAGTTTCTTCGTGATCCTTTCAACTTCGAACCCCAGAGCTGCGTTCCTCTCGCGACTTGAACCGACTTGGACCCTGGAAGAAGGCCTTCTTACCTTAAAAGTAATTTATGTTGTATTATAATCGATTATAATATAGCATATTATATACGAATGTCTATTTCTTTTTATTTCTACATTTAGTTACTGATTTACTTGTTTGTGCATTTCTTTATGAATCTTGTTGTTATGCTTGTCCTCATTCTACCATTCAATTTTGCCTCGACAGTCTGTTTCGGAGGAGGTTGATTCGACTAGCTTCTGCCGGAGAGCGTTGTTCTCGGCCTTCAATTTGGCAACTCCGTTGTCGTTGTTATAGGTTCTTTCTATGTTGTAGTTCCTCGCCTCCATAAGAATAACAATAATAATCATAAACAGTAGGTATATAATTTAGTGAACCAGCGATACCATTTCGCGAACTTGCTGCGAGTCAACTCAACTTGGCGCTGTTCGATCTCCTTTTTTCCGATATCCACTCAATGTTTTATGTTCTAAACGACCTGTTCCTTTTCACGGGTCAGTTGGGCAATGTTGGCTTCCGCCCCTTTGCGTGAAGTGCTCGAAACCCTCAACGCTGGACTCTGAACCCTAAACCCTAAACCTTAAACCGCAAGCCCTCTAAACCCCTAAACCCTAAAGCCTAGACCCTAAACCCTAAACCATAAACTCCCTTTGCCGGGCCTGTTGCAGACTCCTGCCACGGGCGGCTCGTCTCTTGCCAGGGCTTTCAGACCCTGTCCCGAAACTCTCAACTCTTGACATTCAGGATAGCCCTGTACTTAGATCACCAAGACCATGATTAAACATATTTACGGTCGTTTGGAAGGAAAAAAAAAAGCAAGTATAACAACAGCAGCAGCACCCCGAACAGAAATAGTAGCAGCAGCGGTAGTGGTAGTGATCGTGGTAGCATGGCTGGGTGCCTGTGGTGATGGTAGTGGTGGTGGAGTGGCACTCGCAGAACTCGTGGCGGCGGGTGGGCAGCAGAACTTGCACGAGCAATCCGGCGTCCTCCGTGCACATGTACAGCAGCTCCGCGCCGACACGCAGTGCCGCCATGCCGGCATAGTAGGGGGCCCCTCGTGCTTTTGGGTCTTGGGTTTGGCTTGGGGTTCCTTTCAGGATTTTGGGCTTTGGGTTTGGCGCGTGAGTCAGAGGTCTATGCAACCACCAGTGCGACTGATGGGTTCTAGGAGTCGGAGCACTCGGAAATCAGGTTCAGGGCTTCAGGTCATGGGTTCAGGCTGCGAATTGCTGGCTCCAGTAAGCCTGAACCCTGAACCTTAAGCTTGAAAACCTGCTGCACCCTTACCCTAAAGCCGGGTGCAGGTTCACGACAGAAACGGATAAGCTCGCTTGGAAAGTCCTGCACACCGCGCAACAGAATGGCCACAGCAATTCAGCAGACTGTCCCTTCAGTCATAGTGAGCCTGACCCAATCCCAAACCGCCTTACCCCAAACCTTAAGCTCTGCCCCTTCAGTTCTGTTCTAGTCTACCTCAAACCCAAATCCTGATCTCACAACCCTAAACCCTAAACCCTGCAACCCTAAACCCCCAAACCTTCCTTTTCCAATGTTATCCCCCGCGACCCTTTGGGAATGCCTGCAAAGTCAGGAGAGCCGCCCAGCACGCCGATCCTGCCTTTATCGCAGTGTCTGGAGGGCACCCCTGAAATCCTTGGGGGGTAGGGCGGGGCCTAAGACTCGTAATACGGACCTAGCAAGGCCTATTTAAGGAAGTATAGTCCCCTACCCCCCGCCCCCCTTGCCCTCCTAAAAAAGGAAAGGCTGAGCACACTTTCAGGGTACGTTATATTTAGAAGCCCGGATTAACACCGGCCTCAGCAAGACAGGCAGCAGTCGACTCTAACAACTTAAAAAAAGGGTGCCTTAATAATTAGAATAGGGTTTGGGGCATATTATACTAATTAGAATAAGGCGCCCCCCAAAACCCTATTGGAATTACTGTAAGGCCCCTACATTAGAGGGGCCACGTCAACGCCCCTGGTAGTGAATACGACTAAACTTGACTAAACCCAAGCAGGCATCGAAAAAGTTGGCAAGGCCTCGCGCGGAAACGAAAAGGGCTCAGTGTCTCGCAAACACGATTGTGGTTTTGGAATTTAGCGGTTAGGGTTCAGGGGCTAAGTCTACTATGCTTTGAAAGGCGTCATACATGAAATCAGAAACTTGCAGCAGAAGTCGAATGAACGACAAAGCCCAAACTAGAGCACAAAACTCAGGCTGTGGGGGTTCCGCACTGATGGGCCCTGAACTCTAAACAGAGAAACGGTGATGTCACCAAGTTACGGAATCCGTGAAAGTGCAAATGAGCATGGACATACGACAGAGAAGGGTAGCATAAAAAATGGGCATGTCGCATCATGTAGAATTGTATCCGAACATGAACTCGCATCTAATTTTCGGTCAGGGCAAGTCTCGCAATGGAATACAAACCAGAACCCTCAACCACGCCCCAGCTTCGCAAAACCACCACCCTCGAGCCCCGAAGGACAATTGACGAATGCCTGACCGACAGTCCTGACTGGCCCTTGTAGCTGTGCCCGTCCAGGTGAGGTGCAATGTCCAGGAGGTAATCCTCAAATGACGGTGAGCTTGCAAGGGCTGTCGCTTCGAAGCTAAGGCCGAAGTACAAAGATTTGCCATACCAGTTGCCTCATCCACTGATTAGCCTTGGACTACTTGTCCTCCTCCTCCTTCTCCTCCTCGTCCTCTTGCCACTCCAACTATCTAAGCCTTGCATCTACTCCGGCGCATCCTCCTGCATCTGCTCCTGCTTCTCTCTTGCTCCTCCTCCGCCTCCTCCTGCTCCAATTCGCCGTCGTCGTAGTGGAGGCGGCGGTGGTATGCCAGTGCAAGTGTTCTTCCGCAGGGTCTGGGGGTTTCAGCGAGGGCATAAATATCACTGCGGAACAAACTCTATGCCGTACTGCGCGATGCTACGGTACGGTTGATGATATAAATCCTGCATTACCCATAATATGGAATATAACATAGTATCATCAACCGTATATCCTGCGATTCAGCGCCCCCTTTGTTTTGCTGCAGGGAGTCGGAGATCGACAGCGGGGTGCGGCAGTCGTCCAAGTAGTTCGGCAAGCCATCCTGTTGAGCTATCAGAGGCACTGTTGCGGCCGTACTCGAAAGGAAGTGGAAGTGCAAGAAATGTTGAGTAACCCGTTTTGGTGGTTTAGGGCTTAGGAGAGCTGTCACAAGACGGCTCTCTCGAATCTGCGGGAGGAATCATGCCGGTTTGCTGTCGGGGTGTTGGCGACAGGCTTCAGGATGTGATCGTCGTGGAGTGGTTGGTTTAGGGTTCGGGCCTCGGCCACAGCTAAGGCAAAGGCCCTTAAAGTCCCCTTGAGATCCATGCACAAGCAGGCTGGGTGGCTACCGCCGTGTTCTACGGATTCGACTCTTCGTGAGGTTCGATGGCCCAGGGCTGAGGGGCTCCGGCTGCACTGTGAGATACGATTTGGGGACCCACGCGTCGACCGATATGGGCTATATACTAAGCCACCCTACTGCAAGAGTGTTTCCGTAAATCCCGAGCTATCAAGATGTGCTGAAGCTCTCTGCAAAGCGATATTACGCTCTTTGCAAAAGTCTATCTATCTCAGGGCCCCGTGCACAAAAACCCGTAAAGGGACTGAGGCAACCCTAGATCAAAAGGGCTCCTATTCTATGCACAAGCGTCCTACCTCGGGCCTCGAACGCCAGCGAGCGTGAGCCGCAGAAGATGTGGCACCGTGGTCGGAATGAGGCCGGATATCGTTCTGGGCCTGTGACAGCAACAAGGCAGATGCCGGCTTCCAACATCACAAAACCGGCTGGAAACGAAGATACTTGCATGCGGAGATTGTGAGTAGCTCAAAACGAACCCGAGAACATCAAACCTGAAACTTATCAGAACGAGTGTCCAAGACCCAGAGCCCTGGACGCCAGACTCAAAGCCCTAACCTCTCAAGACCAAGCCCTCAAACTTAAACTCTGACATCGAACTCAGAAAACCCCAAAACCCCTGGGCAAGATCGACATGCCTCACACTGCCTTAGACCCGAACCCTTCAAGGCTCGAAGGGCTCAGACTTCAAAGCCGAAACCGACAGCCCGAAGCTTCGTTGTGCCCCCGGTTGCCTGCCTCGCCGCTCGCCGAAATCGAAAAGGGTGGGGAAGGTCATGAACATATTCCTTCCGAGCTCGAGGCTGCGAGGGTTTGCGGTGTGGGGTGCGGAAAGCTTGGAAGCTTGGCAAGTGGACTGCGAGGGGTGCGTAGGGCTTGGGAGTTGAGGGTTCAAGCAAAATCTAATCAAGCTCAAGTAGGGTTTAGGGTTTAGGGTTTAGGGGTTTAGGGTTTCGAAGACTCTCTGCCAGGCCTACCTTGGAGTGCTCGCAAGTTGGGGGACATTCCACAGGAGGGTCCGCAACCTGGCAAAGCTTCACAGGGACCATAGACAGCGGTTCTGCGGTTGGCTTCATGCCAGCACCTCGCCCTAAACCCTAAACCCT